ATGAACTAATATCAAACTCTGTGAAATATATGTGAAGTGTTAAATGATTGGTAACAAAACATACTTCCTAGTTTTCAACAGTTCTTTAACTAAAGTTAATTCATCATAGAAACTATGAAATATAACAATATCAACAACCCATGGTATTAAAAATTATATCTTGCAAATAAGACCACGTGGACAAAGTGTAAACCAATGAAATTTTAATGATCGATGAAATATAAATATAAGTTGGTGCTTACTTAAATATTCATCTTTAGTTAAGTTAAACAGAAATTATGAAAATCTTGTACTCTGTATAATAGATGTTAGTATATTACTTACTTACGCCTGTTACTCCTTGTGAAGGAGCATAGGCCTCCCACAAAAATCTCCATCCAACCCTGTCTTGGACAATCCTTTCCAGTTCTTTACATTTGTTATTCTTCCTTTTCATATCTGCTTCTATTTCCCTACGTAACGTGTTCCTTGGCCTTCCTCTTTTCCGCTTCCCTTCAGGGCTTGCCTCATGATGCAGTTTAGTGATTTCCGTAATGTATGTCCTTTCCACTTCCAACGTCTTTTCCTAATTTCCTCTTCAGTTGGAAGCTGGTTTGTTCCCTCCCACAGTAGGCTGTGGCTGATGGTATTTGGCCGACTGATATTGAGTATCTTGCGTAGACAACTATTTATAAATACTTGTACCTTCTTGATGATGGTTGTAGATAGGTCTCCACGTTTCAGCTCCGTACATTAGAACTGTCTTAAAGTTCATAATGAAGATTCTGACTTTGATATTGGATGATAGTATATAGCATATATTTATTACATAGTTCACATTTTTCATGTTTTTTTTTTAAAATTCGGATTTATAAAGAAATTTTATATCCACTTAAGGAAAAAACAACATTCTAAATAGTATGATGTAATTAATTAACTAAATTGATACACCATAAAACAGCACTTAATCTTACTAACAAGAAAGAAATAAAATTATGATTTTAAGGAAGGAAAGATGCAAACCGACTGGGTAAACAATAACAACTGAACAAAAACAAATTATAAAAACACCATAACCACAAACTAGCCAGTGGATAATAGATACTTATTCCATAAAACCTAATGGAATTGTAATATTCATTACACTCGATTTGTACAGATTGAACTTGACAGACAGTAAATAAACTCCATAATAATAATAATAATAATAATAATAATAATAATAATAATAATAATAATAATAATAATAATAATAATCGCAACAACAGTTAAATGTTTACGAATCGATTTCATTAGAACTTTTTAACACCATATTTTTATTTATGATTGTCTTCACAGAAAAAAGCATCCTAATCTTTTAAAGTACTCGGTTATGTATTGAAATGCTATATTCATAAACTCAGTATATTAATAATTCGTACTAGTGTGGTGCATGCTACTTATGTCTGTCGACATAAGTAGTATGTAACACGAATCGGGAGTAGAAAACCGGGAAGTGGAAGGCTATGAAAGTCGACTTAAAGACAGTAGAAACGGAAATGGAAAGTTACTTTGACTTGGAAGAATCATACAGAATTCAAAGGACAAATGATGAAATTTTGCGAATGAAGTATTCAATGTATATTTCTCATGTTTTACCAAGGGATTCTGCAATTTCGAAATTAAATGCAGTTGGTTGTCCTCACCTGTGTTTCCATTCACTACAGTATAAGCAGCCAAACTCCAGTCTTCTGAAGTTTGCTGAAGCCGTTGCCATAAGGGGACAAAAACCTGACCTATGTGTTCTAAAGGAGATGGTTGTTAATCTTTCCTTGCCTTGGTAACAAATATTCCTTCGCTGCACCATAAATTAGTTTGTTTTGTTTTTGTATTTATTACATCATTGATTTTTATTTATTTTTTATTTCTTCAACTACGTTTCAAATTAATAATCTCTTAACTGAACTTTACTCACTATATTCCTATCAAAATTTTTACTCATTATGTAATCAATTATTTCTAACCCGCTTTTTGAGCTGTTGTCACAATTAATGATATAGAATATTCTTTCACATTAGGTATATATTTACAATATTCAGTCTATTAATTTCATTTACAACCTTGCTATACTATACGAATATGCCTTCAATATAACTTCTAACCAAACCCTCTCATGTAAGTCATTTAAACTCATTATCTAATTATGATTTATAAATATCACAGGTTGTAAGCAACTGATGAGAACCTACGAAATAAAATGAATCCATGCTATTCTGCTAGAATCTTTGTTCTTGCTCTTTTCAAAATGATAAAGGGAACTATGTGTATGAAACACTACAGTATAACCATCATTTAATTGTAAGGTAATAGGTCCATAAATTATCTTCAAAAATAGCTTAAAGGTTGTATTCATTTTAGAATGGTAGACTGGATAGTTCATGTTCACACTGAATTTTAAACTCTATTTTATCTGTATATAAATTCTATCGTCCTACAACATGGAATGACTTTAGTTAGAGAACACTCGAAAACCAGGAAGAAATGAACAGATGTTTTGTTCACGTATGAGACTCCTGTGTAAAAAGCGTTTGCGATCCTACCAGAGATCAAACTCAGGAACTTCAGGCCACATGATGAGCCTTTAAATATAAAATGATTATCACTTACTCAAATTACAAATATTTGTCCCACACCAGACATGTTTGTAAGTCATTAGATGGTTAGAGGTACCAGATAAAAAGTACTTAACTTACGTTTCAAGCTCTTCAGTACCAATTAACAAGGTGTATCCGCAATATTGAAAACACTATTGTTTCTTAGAGTTTCAACCTTGTGCTACAAATTGCCGTAGTTAAAGACATTGTCCCTAGTGTGTTACCATTTACCTTTTGTAAGACCAAGATATTTTTACTAATCTATTAATAAATATTGCTCGTGACATTTCGTTTAAGAAAGTCAAGGGACCTTGTAAAAAAGATTACGTTAACCATTGAAATAGAAGAAAAAAGTGACAACTATAAGTTACAATATATAGTTCCATGATCAATTAATATATCAAAAGTGATATTTTGAAAAAAAAATAATAAAGGAGATTTATTATTATACAGTACTATTCGGGTTTGTAATTTATTGAATACTACTAGAGTTTCAAAACTATTACAAAATAACTCTTCATACTAATAATTAGTTACTATGGATTTTATAATTGATTTAAGCCCATAATAAAAAAGAAGAAATAAATAATGTCAGCATGGATAAAATACAAATAAAGTGTTTTTATATTACTCATAATCCATAAGCTTTGGTGTAGATGTAAAAAATTCAAATTCAAACTATTACAATGTATTTGTGGTTGACTTTACAATGATTGTTCAATGTTTAAAAGTACACGCATCGATAAAGTTCTAATTTGGGCTGTAAATTGTCACTGGCAAATTATTAACAATTTATTTTTTAAAAAAACAGTCGTATTTATAATGCCCGAATAGTTTGGCTAAATAGAAAAAATGTACCATGACGATCATTTATGTATGTAAATGACACTTCTTATGAATAAGTTATCTCATTTACAATGGATAAATTACAACTTACATGTTTGCACGAATCAGTTACTGCTTAGTGAGTAATCAATGTTATGATATCTAGTTCATAGTACTGATTAAATTTTATCAACCAAGTTTTCTGATATGTCAGGATAAAAATGTGACATTATTTTAGGTCAGTATTTTTCGCGTTAATTCATTATGAATTTATTCTAGTTTGACGGGCGTGAACTTTCATTTAATATGACGTTATTTCAGGTCAATATTCTTAAAACATTGATAGGTCCATGATTTCAACTAAAACTCAACAGTCCCGACAACCCTATGATGATAATTATCAGGTACTGACTAGCTTCGAGAGGTAATTCTCGGAGTCCTAGTGAGAATCTGTGACCACACCAGTCGAGCGTGAGGCAGTTACCCGCCGAAGACAATGAAGATGGTCACGCGATATCATAGATTACTTGAAGTTAGACGTTAACACTGTCGGATGCCGACTCAGTGATCAAGAGGTTGAACGTTCGTGCTCGGAATTAAAGATTCTAGGTTCGAGTTCTTCGTGAGGGGACGAAACGGCCATCCAGTGCTTCCAGATTTTTAATGGTGGTCTTAAATTAATTGGTTCATGATCTCATTTAAACTTATTCAAAAAATTGAGTATGAACCTCGTTCAATATTATAAGTGTGAACTTTCGATCAATGTGATATTTCTATTCCCTTTATTAATTCAGGTGTACTATATTCAGTGTTTTTGTAATGGTGCTACGTACTTTTCTCTATATACGATATTAAGGGTATATAAAAATCCATATACCAATGAATGCATTTAATCTGATGATGTTTTTGGACAACTTGTTTCGAGGAATTGTTTAGGGGATGTCTATTTGGAGGATCAATAAGTCAACATTCGCATCAATCTTTCGTGTTCCTACTTCGATTGTGGGAATTAGAGTGGTTTCCGATTTTTAGGTATAAGCAGTAGGGTCATTGATACGACAGAGGCAATGTAGACATAACATTTCTATTATGATCAGTAGGCTAATTCATTACACATTATTGTCTAATTTGTGCGTTCGTTATAAATATCTCACTAGTAACATATCATAAGGAGACATTTAGGGACTCCGGTTCGAAACTCTGGTATGAGAGTATCAATTCACCCAGAATTTCAGATATACATTAACGATGAACATAACCAGTAAGAAAACATGGATTCATAGTTTTGAATAAATTGCCTTTAATCATATTAAATTAACCATATCTTATTACTTTAACCGAAACAAATATATTTTATGTTGATTTTCTGAAAGACTTCACAAGATCCTTATCATTTTAATAATCAGTAGGAATTCTATTAGATGTGACATGTTTTATTATATATACCAATAGTAAAATTGAAACTAAAAAAATCTACATAACTGTTCACTTACAATTCAAATATTGTATAAACACTTCCTTTAATTATTCTCATTCTGTCTTCTGAATACGGAGTTGAATTTTTCACATTTGATGTATGTCTTCGATAATCAGAAATTAAAGTGTGAAATTTTTTAGATGGATCAAATGAATGTGAATGAGAAGACGGGTATTTTCGATTAAGTTTCCTAACAGTTGCAGTTACAGCAATTGGATGTCTTTCATTTTGCAAAGGAATTTCGAAAATTTTTGAAGAATGTCGTTGGACATCATCATTATTAAGATTATCGTTTTCATATGAGGAATATTGTAGTTTATTTGATGAATTAAAACTAGAAAAATATTTACGTCTCAATTTCACATCCAAAACTTTAGTGAACATGGAACCTTTGGATTTAGTCGCCCTTGTTTCAGAGTTCATTATGATGTGAAAAAATTTAAACTGAATAAGTTACATTTTGATGTAATAACTTTCTCACTAGCATAGACTGATTTGTATTGGTAACCATTGTGAATTTGATAAGAAAAATTATGTAGTCAAGGTTTCGGTTTGGCCTTGAGCCAACCAATAAAATTTAAGGAATATGTAGGTTAACGAACAGTCAAAATACAATTTAAAATTATAAAATCTAAACGTAGTCACAAAAACAATTAATTATTTTGTGTACTTAACTTTTATGTTTAAATATAAATAAATTCAAGTCAACATTGAGTGATAATCAACAGACTGTTTGTCCAAAGTGACTAAAATTAACTCAGTTCACATTAGTGATAATCATACATAAGGTTAGTGAATATGCAAATAAGACTATGAAAATGGACTGTTTTTAATTAAAGCACCAAACAAAAACCAATCATCACTAATTTTACTTATTCCAATGTTTTTTTTACTGCTTTATGTTAACGTGATCATCTATTGTATGTTGTTTTGTAATAACTTTTAGATTACTTAGAGAAATCAGTTGAGTGTATTATCGAAAACAATATGCTCAATTTTTCATGCAAATTTTTCAAATCGGAGAAAAACTGAGAAATATATCTTGCTTTTGATAAAGCTACTCAACCGGTTATACAGTCGAGAATGCGAAATCTCATGATATTAACACTAGGATTTTTCAGATACTGGATTAGTAATATTTGCAAATTATCCGCTCATAATTTAGTTAAAACTCCTTGTTTCCCATTAAGTTAGAGAATAACAAACGTATAAAAGATGATTTATTAACAACTTTTTCAGTGATGATTGACTGTTTTTTAATATTTAACTGAATTGGATTTTAATAACAGCCCAGTATCATGGATAGACTGACCTTGAGAATGCAAATTATTCTATTGATTCTGGGTAGTTTAAAGATAAAGTGATTACTGAGGAACCTAGAGATCATAAGTTCGATTCCTTGTGCTTTGTCGTAGATGAATGGCGGAATGGGACTGTCTGGTTTTCAACGGGCATCTAACTGCAGTTAGTCCGTGACATAAGCTATAAATAAAAAAGTTTTTTACACCTATAAAAATAGGAATTCAACACTTAATAAACACTTGATTTTAAAGTGCTTACAAAAAATAAAGTTTGATGTGTTATAATCAGTCAGCTAATCGTGTAGCAAAGCAGATAGATGGAGATATAATACACATTGTGAATAGTTTATATGAAATGAAGGTCGACTAATTATTGATTTCAGTCTAACTAAATACACAGACTGTTAGAATCAAGATTATCCTTACATCGAAGCGAACAAGCCAGTTATATCAGCAATGAATAAATAAACAAATCAATAAAGAATCAGCCTGTGAATACATACACCGAAATAACTAAGTAAGAAGTCAACCGACTGTTTAACAAATAATAATCATAAAAATTGAATTCATTATATGATATGTTAATTACTTCATTTATAACATAAATTACCAAGCATTTCCGTTCTAAAACTAGATAAGTTATCAAGGCTCTTTGGTATGACATTATTCTCATCTCACTAGGATTAGTTTCGGACTTGATTAACTTTCAAGAGAAATAAATAAACATCACTCCAGCACTTTGAAAACGTATATAATATGACCTCTCCTCGCAGTACAATTATACAGTTGTACGTTTACTAAGTATAATGACAGGTCAAATCAGTTGCCTGGAGGCCGTTGATTGGTACTCAACCAAAAACTAGGTTTGCTTTTGAAATGAACCATTATCTTTACCTATAAAACTTAGTCCACTGGTTAAGATTAGCTTCGATGATCTAATTAGGTCTTATTACTTTTAATAATATGAATGTTAGACTTTTTTCTCAGTAGTTCAAAAAACAAAAGGATGACCAAAGTTTGTGCAAAATTATTCCATTGTTAATCTATTCCATCAGCATATAAAAGGCAGTGAAAAAACCAATCTACCATCAGCTAATCATTGATTAAATTATAATCAAGTTGCAAATACAAGGTATATCTACTCATCCATTCAAGGATCCCATTTACCAATAGAGAATCATTAAACGAAGCAACAAATATTAACGACAATAGAATACAAACATTGTAGCCATTGGATAAGTCAGTGACTGCTTTGACTCAGCATTATATAGCCAATAATCCTGTTATTTTGGGTTGTTAAGAAGTAAATAAATATACAATTCAATGATGAATTATATTCCTCAGCTAAGAGTTGATTTTGCAAACTATATACACATTAAAGTATTGAGTATTTAATGTCAACTACTACTGGTATAATGTAGTCATTTTCAACTGTCAAACGAGCATTTAAAATGATGTGTATCTCATCGTTGCTTCTGATGTCATTTTAATCAGTGGTTGATGAATAAGTCTTCGTTTAGAGAATTTTTCTTCCTTGCATCCGTATAACAGTCTTGTTCCGTTATAATAAGTAGTAAGTAGCAGTTAAACCAGTCACAGCAAACAACAATACCAGTAACAGTATAATCCTTTTGCTAAGTCCTTACAGAAGTGATGAGTGCTCAGTATGAGACTCTCACCGTGAATATCAAAAACGAAGTTTGGTTACATTCACCTGAAAGGTCTCAAAAAGAATGAAATCTGTATTCTGGACTACACTGTAGCTTGTTACTCAAAATACTATCAATCTGTATTCTAGAGTTTAAAATAGTTTTTTTTCTTTTAATAAACCCTTTGAATGACGTTGATAGCTGAAATCCGAAGGCAAACAGAGTATTGTTACGAAACAGACCCCGTATAGGAAACCAACAAGAACTGAATGAAGTTTAAACCTTAGTAACTTACATAAAGTTTTGTCATCTTTCTGACAGAAACCAAGTGAGAACATGCATAGTCTGTTGTTATCGAACAAAAACAGTTAATCTAACAGGCGACCGTCATTAAGAGTTCATACCAGCAGGAAAATTAGTAAGAAATGAGCAGCAGTTCCGTTCAATTCCAAGACTCTTCAGTGGAGCATACTCGACAAATCATGCAAGGACAAACTCAGGACCTTCAGATTTCGAGGTCACCATGACTCCTATGAGCAACTAAGTCGTAGATAATTGGTCTACATAGTCAACTTGTCGTATAGTAGTCTTCAATCAGTATTATCAACTAGTAACCGTCTCACTCTAGACTTATTAAATTACAACTTCCCAACAGAACTTCGAGAAATCCATATCCAATACAAGTAAAAACACTACTATAATTCATTTAAATGCACTTCTAGTGTTTTAATAATTCGGAGGTATATTAATCAGAGTGACGGATTTTAGGAAACTTAAATGTCATAAGTAATCTTACCACAATATTCTGCGTCATATTCAAATGAAAATTTTTACGATATCATCAAAACACTTTGATTCATTCTAAATTATCAGCGTTAGATTTTTGTTTGATCCTATTCCACAATTTATTCGCCCTACAATGTTCCGATTTTCTGTAAAATATTTTTGAGAAAGAATCATTTTAATTCTTCAGTACCGAACAATGATCTTGGTGAAATAAAATGGGGTTTACCGAGAAACCAACACCAATTATCATTATTAATATGAGTGTTTATTCAGTTATGTATCGATGTCTAACTGATCTAAACAATTCAGTTGCGTTTACCATTTATATGGTTTTGATTTCTCAAACTACATTTTAGTTGTTTCTTCTTCATTGTTATGCAGTTGTTACATCGCAACGAAGTTAAAAATGATAATCAACAAGAAACCCAGTTGGTATATCCTGGTTTCCTCTAGACTCTAATTTTACCTAATTTGCTAACTTCATTTCCCTCTATTAATTTTAATTGCGTTTTTAGAAAGACATCCTCAGCTGTTGCAATTTTTTGAAGGAAACTGTTAACTATTTAATCAAGTTTCTATTTCCATTTAAACACTAGGATTGATGAGGAACATTGAAACTACCTAATATATTATAGAAACGTGAAAACCCAGGGTAATCAATGCAAGGGAAAATATTTTGGAAAATGAATTTATGATCTAGACCATTCACCGATGATTGTTTCACTTAGCCAGTTTTGTTTATATTGAGAACATGGGATTACTAGTTGGTCGCTAATGAAGAAAAGTTTAGGGTAGCTCTTAATAATCTACTCAATATTTGAATCTCGAAAGAATCGTCTTTTTTATTTGGTGAATGTATAACCACTTTCAGTTAATAACTGAAAATAGTTGTGATCTGATTATGTAAACTAGAATCGAATTATAAGTAAAGCATACCCTATCCAATGGATTCTTATGTCCTTATACGTTGATGGTATTTGTTCAAGGTTACAGAGAGAAACAAACTAGTGATTGCAAAAATAGATGCACATGCTAATGAATATTTACCTGAAAGACTTCTGTTAAACTCATAACCTAGTAAACTTCCTATACTGTATAAATTGTAACATTTTTGAGAGCGACTTACTTGTTGTACACACATTAGCCTATGTTGAATATACGAATACACCCCCTACTGATGATAACACTGCTAAATATATATTTAATCACATATAAACAACTCTGCACCTCATTGGTCAAACTTGAAGATGGCCAAGAAATATATGACTCGATACTGGTGATAAACGGATATACTAGAGCATATCTACTATAAAGTCCAAAAATGTGAAGCGATAGAGCCCCCAAAGTGCAATTCATACCAACACAGACCTCGGAATTTTTGAATTCAATAATTCACTCATTGACAGGTTTTGTTGCTTGAATAGAAATCTTATGAGTATTCAGTAAAACTGTCCATTAGTCAGAACAAGTGAAAAAAGGATCGGGACAGGATACTTCACAAATGTACACTAAGCAGCTCAAACCAAGAGCCAATGCACCCATATAACTTGTAACAGTTTTCTATTTTCCCGTCACATATCAGATTGATCACTTACATTGTGAGAGCGTGAAAAACTAGATTACTGACTAAACATTTTGGTTTTTATACAATCGCTTCAGTTTGAACTAATATACATAATGGTATATA